GAGCTGACTTTGAACCTCCTGAGTAACTAGGATAACAGGCAGTGAACCTCTTGTGCCTGGCGAGCTTTTCAGTTTTTAAGGATTTCACATACACTATCTCACTTTTTTTTTTTTTTTTGTCAGTCGTGGGGCTTGAACTCTGGGCCTGAGCACTGTCCCTCAGCTCTTCAGCTCAAGGCTAGCACTCTACCACTTGAACTACAGCGCCACTTCCAGTTCTCTGGTGATTTATTGGAGATAAGAGTTTCATGGATTTTCCTGCCCGGGCTGGCTTTGAACCGCGATCCTCAGATCTCAGTCTCCTGAGTAGCTAGGATTACAGGCGTGAGCCACCAGCGCCCAGCACTATCTCACTTTTGAAATGGATCAAGGTGTCTTATTCTGGAGATACAGAAATAGATACAGTGAATGGAACACCTGTGCTGGGCACCAGTGGTTCACTTCTGTAATTCTAGCTTCTCAAGAGGCTGACATCTGAGGGTTGTGATCCAAAGCCAACCAAGGAAGAAAAGTCTATGAAACTCTTATCTCTTATCTCTAATTAACCAGTAAAGAGCCAGAAATGTAGCTGGGCTCAAGTGGTAGAGCACCAACCTTGAGCTCCAATATCAGCACACAGAACACCTGACATTCTGAAATCTATTCCAGTTGAGATAACACTGTGCATGGACATGAAGGCACCTTTTTTTTTTTTGGTCGGTTATGGGGCTTGAACTCTGGGCTTGGTGCTGTCCCTGTGCTCTTCAGCTCAAGGTGAGCACTCAACCACTGGAGCCACAGTGCCACTTCTGTTTTTCTAGTGGCTTTTATTGGATATAAGAGTCTCATGGACTTTCCTGCCCAGGCTGGCTTTGAACCTCGATCCTCAGATCTCAGCCTCCTGAGTAGCTAGGATTACAGGCGTGAGCAACTGGTGCCAGGTGAAGGCATATTTTGACACCCTCCCCCCACATAAACAGGACAAGCTATTTTGAATAGATGTCCATAATCCTGAAATAGATGATTAGCTCTCAAAGACAGAATGCACAACTACTAATTCACTGCTATTCCCCAGCAGTCTGAGTAGATCTACTTAGAAGACTAATGTGCCATCCACTCCACGAGAAAGTAGATAGGGTACAATGAGCAAACTGTTTACAAAAATATCCTTTATTTGCAGTCAAGAGTCATCTTTTCCCACTGTGTGCTCAACTCAAGTGGGTAAAGTTTTGTATTTTCATGATCTTCAGGTTTGAGTTTGGAGAATACTTTTCTAATTTCCTCCAAAACTTTCTAACTGTATTCTGTTAGATGCAGAAGGCAGGACTGTAGTCATATTGAAAAGGGTCTATTTCCAGAATTTCAGGGGGATGGACTGGTGCCCTGACCTGAGTAACATTGTATGACCATTCTCCTTATTATATATATATTCCCAGGTAGTCTTTAGACTTTTAGAAAATAAGTAAAAAAGTGGACATCTGGCAGAATGTTTGCCAAGGTGATAGGTCACAGTTTCCTGTACCCATGTATATTGAAACAAGACTGTGGTTGTGAAGAATCTGAATTCTTAGCTGCTGGAGATTGTGCTGGGAATGGAAAGTAAAACTGTCAGTTGTGGTGACCACAACCTAAAAGCTAAAACCACACACTACTTCTGCACAAAATTGCTACATGTGGCTCTTTTTGTTGCTCATAACTGCAAGGATTCCATTTAGTTGTGCATAAAATAGTATCTGCAGAACAGAATGAAGAAAAACATTTCACCCTCAGCATTGTCAGTTACTTATAAAATGTCAGTACAAATGCATTTCTAACATCCTGGTAACAATACATCCGCTAGTATCAACAGCCAATTCAACTGTGGTGAGGGAAGATACAGGGCATATCCAGAGTAGCACTGAAGGACAGGAAGGACAAAAAGGAAGAATCAAGTATGTATTTGAGAAAAAATATGGACTTTATTTATTTATCTTGTCTAATCTGGGAATTAATAAGTTAAAACATTGGGGACTTATTATAAAAATAAAATTAACCATGAGCCTTATTGTACTAATGTGTAATTGAGAATTGGCTCAGAACTTTGTTTTTTAATCTAGGAACTACTCTTTCTGCGAAGTAATAATACCATTTTCATGAACAAGTGACTGAAATTCCAGTAAGAAATTCAAGGGGAAACTTGCATTCTCTTATTTATTCTTAAGTTCATTATCTCTCACCTATATTAGCAGTGAAATTCAAGTTTAAAATTATTTTTCCTATGGTGGTACTGGGGTTTGAAGTCAAGGTCTTGCACTTGCTAGACTAATACTCTACCAATGAGCCAGACTTCTAGCTCTCATTTCTTTTCTGTTTGTTTGTTTGTTTGTTTGTTTTGGGGTCCGGTCATGGGGCCTGAACTCTGGGCCTGGGCACTGTCCCTCAGCTCTTCAGCTCAAGGCTAGCGTTCTACCACTTGAGCCACAGCGCCACTTCCGGCTTTTTTCTTTTTGCTTATGTGGTGCTGAGGAATCGAACCCAGGGCCTCTGGCATGCAAGGCAAACACTCTACCACTGAGCCACCTTCCCAGCCCCCTCTCATTTCTTTTCTATAACAACTATGACATCACTTGATTCTGTACACAGCATAAAGTTATTAAAGTTGAATAAGTAAATGAATATAGAATGGTAAAAAAAATACAGGCTTTAGATATATAAGTTTGGCAGCTTTTTTGTTTTTTCTGGTCATGTGGCCTGAACTCTGGGCCTAGATGCTGTCCCTCAGCTTTTCAGCTCAAGGCTAGCACTCTACCACTTGAACCATAGCACCACTTCCAGCTTTTTTTGCTTATGTGGTGCTGAGGAATCGAACCCAGGGCCTCATGCATGCAAGGCAAGCACTGTACCAGTAAGCCACCTCCTCAGCCCAATTCTGCAACTCTTAACCAGTCAAAGCATTTCTTTACCTTCCTTCCTTTCTCTCCCTCCCTCCCTTCCTTCCTTCTTTCCTTTCTTCCTTCCCTTTTCTCTTTCATTCTTTTCTTTTTCCCTTATACTAAGGTTCAAATTCAGAGCCTCAAGCCCTCAGTTTGTTCACCTGGCTTATACTCTGCCATTTGAGGCATAAGCCTAGCTTTTTGCTGGTCACTTTGAAGATATTAAGTCTTGTGCCTTTTCTGCTCTGGTTACCCTCCTGTGTGGCTAAGATTACAGGTGTAAGTCACAGATGCCTAGCCAAAGCATTTATTTCAACTTTCTTCATATTGTAAGTTTGTACTTGGGAACCCTAAGCAAATATTTCATTAAGAAACCTCTGTCCCTCAAGAAGACTGCTGAAATTTGCCAGAGCCAACACTGCATGCAGAAAGGATAACATTTTAAAGTGTAATTTATTTGAAATGCTTCCAGAAAAGTTTAAGGCCACTATACAAAAAAACAAACATTTCATCAAAAATTCATTGACTTTCTCCCCAAAGGCCACTCAATGTCTGACGAAGTGGCTGATGGTTCTACAAAGAGGACTCAGTTAGTTCTCCATCACCAAATGATTTTACTCAGCCTTCCTCTGCTTCTGTCTACAGCAGCTTCATGCTTGCTAAATCATTAATTTGAGAAACAAAGCAGTTTTAAATAAACTTGTATTAGAAAAGATTCACCATGTTTAAATTGATAAATACAGAAAGATGCTGGACAGGGTAAAATTTACCATATTTTTTGTTTTTGAAAAATAATAATGCAATATACCTTGTTTCTATCTTGATAAATCTTGTCACACAGCATCTTTGAGTGCACATGATATATGTACATAATAAAATGACACCATTGTATATGTTGCTTTTCTGTAAACTTGAAAGACACAGAATATTACAAAACAAACTTTTTGGCAATAATTTAGAATTACTACTACTAGTGCTGGTGTGGGGATAATTTTGCATAGGACATCCTAAATATTTACACTTGCAGGGAGCTTTTCCATGTATTTTGTTAGCCTTCTTTTTAAGGTCTGCACTTCCCTTGCTCTGTAAATCAAGGCTGTCAGTTTGACTGACTGATCTTAATTAATCAGAATTAAATGGCATTGGCCTTGGGAGAATGTAATTATGTTTCTGATTACAGCATAGAACTAGAGATACAAACGGATAGTCCAACAGCAAAGCAATAAATCCTAAGCTCTGGTCTTTCACAGGATTGATCCCATGATTTTCTCTTTTAATGTTTCCCACAGAAAGCCTGGATGAAGTGCTTCTCTGTAACCTTTCCTTTCATGAATTTTCATGTTGCTGTGCATTTTTGTTGTGTGTGTGTGTGTGTGTGTGTGTGTGTGTGTGTGTGTGTGTGTGCCAGTACTGGGGCCTGAACTCAAGGCCTTAACTCTCAGTTGGCTTCCTTGCTCATGGCTCATGTTCTGCAACTTGAGTCACACACCTCCAGTCCAGCATTTTTCTGGTTAATTTGAGATACAATCTCACAGATTTTTCTGCCTGGGTTGGCTTTGAACTGTGATCCTTCAGATCTTAGCTTCCTGAGTAGCTTCGAATACAAGCATGAGCCAGCCACCAGCTTATTGTTTTGAGACAAGATCTTGCTTAGTAGCCCAGTTTGGCTTTGAACTTTTTTTTTTTTTTTTTTTTGTCAGTCAGTCCTGGGCCTTGAACTCTGGGCCTGGGTGTTGTCCCTAAGCTCTTCAGCTCAAGGCTAGCACTCTACCACTTGAGCCATTGGCTTTGAACTTTTGATCCTTCTGCCTCTCAAGTGCTGGGATTACAGGTGTGCAACCATCTTGCCCAACTCCTTATATGTTTGTAAGCAGAGTCACTAATGCAGTCACAGTCTCTTTTCCTGTTGCTTTCACCACACTATAAATTGAGTGGCCTAAGCAAGTGAAACAAAACAATGTAGACCTTGTTTTTCTGGCAGGTTTCCCCAGGCCCTCAGGGTTCTAGTGTGATGTTGGAGACTAGAAGCAGCACTCTCTGGTAAGCACTGACCATGCTTAACCCCTCCTGAGGCCATGTGTGCTTCAGTTCAAGACTCAGAGGTCGCAGCTGCTTTTTCTAGGCCCTATCTGCATCAAACCTGCACTGGATGAAGTTGCCAAGGTTCAATGTTTCCATCTTTACAAAATTAAGCCTTTAGAATCTCCAGCGATGTTTCCTGCTTTCTTGTTGAATACCACAGAGCCACATTCACTGAAGGGTTGGACTTTCCTGGCTCTCCCTCAACTATCATTCTGATACCCTGGTTTGCTAGGCCTTCTACATTCCAGGCATGCAGCTGCCATGTGAAGGACTACAACTCACTAGAGAAGTGTGGAAGATGGGCTCTTCAAGCAATCTAGCCAAGACAGTAGTTTAGAGATTCTTTTCTTTCTACTTCAAAAAAATCTAGCAGGACAACTGAAAAGTAACTTGTCCTAGTACCTCTCCATTCATCCAGACACCTGTGAAATACAGTACAGGGTAATGGCTGCCTCTGATTTCAGTTGACACCGATTGATTGGCAATTACAGTACTAGGGACAAAGGTACAGAGATACAAGAGACCAAGCCAACAGTCACAAAAGTATGAAAAAGTGCTTCTCCAAACTGTTCCATGTGTGGAATGCAAATACTGTACAGGTAAGACACAGGTCTACTTCTAGGAAGGTCACACCCTTCTGTCAGACGTTGCTTTCCACAGGCCTGCTGTTCCCGCAGGAAGAGTCTGTCTGTTCCATTCGCTCACAGTCAAGGCTGACCTCACTCGTGTCCATACTACAGTCCGACTCACTGCCTGATTGGTCCATCTGCTCAAGTTTTGTTTCACCTTGGGGCTCCCTGCTTCCCGTGGTGGGACTGAGGAATGATCCCTCGGAGTCAGGCCCTCCAGCATGCCCAGCAGCACATAGCACTGTTTCTTTGGCTTGACGGATACAGTTGAGCCACTGTTGTTTGTTGAAGGTGTCATTGGCTTGTAGTGAGTGGGTCTGACTTTGGGATCCATTTTTGAAACTGACTCTGAAGAAGTTTTTAACTGTAAGTGAAAAATACATGAAGAAAGAGTCATTTCCCCAGGCCATCTTTACATGACACTAACCCCCAGTAGACATGGTAGACACTGCTAATCACGAAACGTTTCCTACTTGTCTAGAACATAGCTCTGCTCTCTCCCAGTACTACTATTGATCACTTGGAGTTGACACAGGCCTCTCAGTTGTCCCATTGTTCTCAGAAGCTAGGACATGGATACCAGCCCTGAACAGCTAATTTTTACATTCCAGGGGATCTGAAGATATTGATTACCTAATCTGCTTATATATCAAAATCCCTGGGGGAGCCAGGCATCAGTGGCTCATACCTATAGTCCTGGCTATTCAGGAGGCTGAAGATCATGGTTCAAAATCAGCCTGGGCAAGAAAGTCCATTAAGACGTTTCTCTCCAAATAACCAGCACAATGCTGGCAATGGATGGCTCAAGTGGTAGTCAGCTTTGAGTGAAAAAGCTAAAGGATAGCACCCAGACCCTGAGTTCAAGTCCCAGTACTAGTGCATTCACGCATACACACACACACACACACACACACACACACACACACACACACACACACACACACACACACACTCC